AAGTCTTGAAAAATGTTTTCAAGAATTATTATTTTAGTATTTATCTTTAATATGATGAAGATTAAATAATAATAATAATAAATTAATTATGGTGGTTAGGAGTTGTTAACTAATCTACATAATTAATCTTATTTTTATTAATACAATAATAATGATTGATGGTGGTTATAAACCAATCACATTATGAATTAAAAGTCAATATTTGGTATGATTATTTAAATAAAATCTGATTTTATTTAAAATAAAATATATCAAACATTGATTATTTTATACTAAAATGTTTAGTATAAATAGGTGCAAAATGTTTGCACATTAATTGCTAAGTTTTTGAGCTAAATTATTCCAAGAGAAAAATTCATTCAAAGAGTTGAGTGATAATACAAGAAAGTGTTCTTGAAAAATTTCCTTATAAATATATATTCCATACTTATTGAATAAAACTAAGTAGTTTCTACTAGCGAAGGAACTATTGTCGGAACCGGACTTCAAAAGGTGGATACGATTAGAGGGAAGACATTTGGATTCCTAAAGTGAGTAACCACAAGAAGTGATCGTTACCAAACCGGAAATTGATTTCCTCATACATCGTCGGTTTTGAAGGAGTTCAAGAACAAAGGTAATTTTTATAAATTACATATCAAATTAAAATTAGTAAAAGTTACTAGATTTTAAATGATGCTTATTCGTTATATCGTTATACTTATGTACGGAATAAGTATTTATAAGATAAATACTTATAAAATTTTAAATTCCGCTGTAAACTCTGTTCCGTACGGTATATCGAACCCAACATGGGTGAGCTAGAATCCTCCAAATTTGTTTAAGGATCAAGGCTTCATTGAATAATAACAGATCTTTGAATCCCAGTCCACCATGTTCCTTAGGTAATGCCAGGACTTTCCAAGCTCTCCAATGGAATCCAGCTGCTTGCTCCATCTCCTTACTCCACCAAAAATTAGTTGTCAATCGAGTAATCTCCCTGCAAACTCCAACATGTAGACAGAAGCATGACATAGAGAATACAAAGAGAGAGAGAGTCAATGACTGCCTTAATCAAAACTTCCTTTCCAGCAGTTGAGAGAAAATTTGATTTCCAGTTAATTAACATCTTCTTAACAACCTCAGTAACAAAAGCAAAAACTTCTTTTTTGGAATTTATAATTCCCAGTGGAAGACCAAGATACCTGGTAAACTTATGTATTTGGATGCCCTGAAATATTGCACAAATTCTGTCTATCATAGCTCTGTTTGTACTCTTACTGAAAAAAACTAAAGATTTGCCAAGGTTGACCTTTTGGCCAGAGAACCTTTGGTATTTTTCCAGAACAGTCATCAAAATTTGGGCATGACTTCATCTGCAGTATTAAAGAACAAGGTATCATCCGCAAACTTAAGATTAGAAACTGTAATACCTGAATTCCCCATTCTAAGACCAGTGAATAACCCTCTATCAGCAACATTAGAAAGAATTTAGAAAGAACCTCATAGATAAGAATGAAAATATATGGGGATAAGGGATCTCCTCTGTCTAAGCCCTCTAGATGCTTCTACATATACTCTCATCTCCCCACTTAGATTAAAAAAGAAAATCGGGGAAGAAATGCAAGACATCACCTATTTCACAAAAGAAGAATGTAAACCCATCTTACCCAAGATTTTTTCCACACAACTCTACCCAATCCTATCATAGGCTTTTCCATATCAACTTTCACTGTCATAATCCCTTTTTTTCCAACTCTATTCCTATTCAAAGAGTGGGACAACTTCCTGAGCAATAATGACATTATCTAAAAGTTGTCCTCCTGGAATGAAGGCCCTTTGATTAGGACTAATACAACAATGAAGACAACCCTTCAGTTTAGATGCCAATATGTTAGATATGATTTTATAGGAAACTCCACAGAGGCTAATTGGTCTATAATTACCAATAGGCACTGGGTTAGGGCATTTAGGAATTAAGGAAATAACTGTATGGTTCCAATTCTTAAGTAATTGCCCAGAAGAGAAAAAACTAAGAATAGCCTCACACAGATCATTTTTCACCACTTCCCAAAAAGATTGAAAAAAGATAGAAGACATACCATCTTGCCCTGGTGCCTTTCCTGGGTCCAAATTGAACAGTGCTTCTTTGATGTCCTCTTTAGTAACTGGAGACACCAATTCATCATTCATTGTCTCAGTTATGGATATTGGTATAAGATGCAGAATTTCTTCATCCTCTGCTAAGCCCTCTGCTGTGAACAAATTACTTGGTCAAACATCGCCTAGGCGGTCTTATCCCTTCGAGATGGCACAACCGTGTGGGATCAAAGGAGATCGCGGCACATGGCTAGACAGTTGCTAATGACACGTGGTCGAGACGGTTATTGACATGGGCGGAAGTTCCGATACGATAGGCACAAACATTTGGCACTCGCACACTGCTAGGGCTAAGTTGACGTCGAGGAGATGTGGGCAATTAGTAAAAAACATTCAGGCAATTGCCAGACGGTTACCCAATAGTTAGGGTTAAGCGTTGCATTGCGAGGCCTTTAAATAGGCGAGGCAAGGATTAGCGTGCAGAGGCGTGCGGGGCCGAAAAACTTAACTCGACGTGCCGAAGTCGAGTGATACACGAGACTGCTGAGGGCACCTGAGTTTGCCAAGCGCTTCGGGAGCCAGAATCCCAAGGAGGAAACTGATCAGTTCAGCGAGCAAACTCGAAAGAGTGAGCGAGACCACCAAACACAAGGGTAACGGGAGACCGAGCGAGCGAGGCAGTGAGCAAGGTCCTAGTACTTGTATTCGAATAAGGCATGTGTTGGCATACGTGAAGTATTTGTGTGTGTAAGGCCGGTGAAGTGTGTGTAACGTGTGGAAGGCCAATGTCTATAAGGCCGGTACTACATTTGGCGAACATTAGATACCTCTAAGTTAATTTAGTTAATACTACAATTGGCTTACGAGACCAATCCATGTTCCATCCTAATAAATGCGTGGAACCATTTACTATCCCTATTAAATTCATGGAATTTCTTTTTAGTAGCAAATCAATACTCATGTTACAACAACTTTTTCATAGATTAAAGAAATATGGAGTTACAAGAATTTGAGAACATGGAATGTGATATTTAATGATTTTTTATCAGAGTAGACGTAGTATATATAGGTAAACAATGGAAAATGCTAGAGTTCCATAAAAAGTATCCGAATAAGCTCATCGGGCCGGGCCTCATAACTCTTTGAGAACTAGTTAAACTGAACTTAGTTCAATGGCGGGTTTCGAATTGAGCATAGTTTCCTTAATCAATCTCCTCATTATCTTCCCCGAAGGCGATTTTGGAATGGTGTCCACAAATCGCAACAATCTCACTCTTTTGTAACTGGCAACGTTAGATGACACATAATTGATCATGTCTTGTTCGCTTTCTTTCGCATTTTTGCTCATCACCACACACGCAGCTGGTATCTCTCCAGCTTCTTCATCAGGCAGCCTGTAAACCAATAATACTAATAATTTTATTATTTCGAAAAGCCGTTAAACGTTGGAAAACATATAACATAGAAAACGTACGTGTTGATATTCAGATAGACTATAGAAAAATACGTTTAGGGCACTTCCATGATATAAATTGTTGCAGACATGCAAGCTTCTGAAAAACTTTCTACCACAATATATAGTTGTTGGGAATAGCAAGTTTTGAAAAGGGAGCATTTCATGATTAAAGAAAATTTTGCAGGGCCGTGGTCTATACAATTTTCGCTTCGGAGTTTTCACGACAACATATTTAGGTCCACGCAGCTTTTCATAAAAATTATTGGAAGTTCTGCAACAACATATGTATACTCGATAAACATTATGTTAAAACGTAATAAATTAACTTGGTTAGCAAAGTAGCATACTCAGTGTGAATATAGATAAAAATCAAGAAAATAGGTATGTTGGTGGAAATTACCCCACAACAGCAGCATCCTCAACTGAAGGATGAGTCAGAAGTATGGCTTCCAATTCAGCTGGAGCAACCTGTTAGATATTTCATCTTAAAATTATCTTTTATATTAAACCTTAATTATATGTTAAAAAAATAAACAAGAAATTTTATATGTAGTAGCTTAGGCACCTGAAAACCTTTGTATTTGATTAACTCTTTGATTCGATCAACGAGGAAAACATCGCCATCCTCGTCTATGTAGCCAATATCCCCTGTGTGGAGCCACCCCTCTTTGTCAATAGTCAGATTGGTCTCATGTTCATTCTTGTAATACCCTGCAATTTTTTTTTAATTTTTTTTTTTAATTTATGAAAAAGGCTTAATCCATAAAAAGTTTACAGCTAAAGGACACAACTAGTTGAATCCTACTTTTTTGTCCAAAATGCAACGATTTTCTATCACGTGACGCGAAAATCCCATAATCAAATGAATTTTTAAATACTTGGTATCGGTTTTGATGGTTGAAAAAAGGGAAGCAAAGCGAAAGTAAGTCTGACCTTTCATCACACACTGGCTTCTAACACAGATTTCACCTGGAGTGTTGTCTGGAAGTGAAATGCCGGTGTCAGGGTCGACGAATTTGACTTCCAAATTTGGAAGGATAAAACCCACAGAATTCTTCTTCGCAATGCTATGCCCTTTGCTTGGATCCGCGTGACTTAGCGTAATGCAGCTATGTTCCGTCATTCCATATGCCTATTTATATGCACACACCCGATTCTTGTTAGGTTCTGTTTTGACGTAAACAAGTAAAATTATAACTCCATATATAGATATACCTCTTGGACCTCAACCCCAGGAAATTTTTTTTCAAACTCGTATAGAATTTCGGGGGCGAGTGGAGCTGCTGCAGTCATAATGGACTTGAGGTTGAGTTTGGTGAGGTCAAACTCGTCGACAATTGGGTTTTTGACGAGCGCCAATATGATTGGTGGCACGATTGGGGCGAAGGTGACCTGATGCCCAATCATGGCGTTCATAAACAAGCGCAGCTCATATCTCTGCATCACAACAACCTTTCCCTTGTTCCTAATGCTGGCACAGCAAATCCCCGTCAGCCCGTAAATGTGGAAAAAGGGGATGAGCCCCAATATAGTCACCTGCCCAATTAATTCCGGGCCCACGCTGAAGAGGCTCGAGCACAGGTTGGCCACCAGGTTCCGGTGAGTTAGCATCACGCCCTTCGACAAACCCGTCGTACCTGACCAATACAAAGCAATTTTATCACACATTTTTGGTTTTCTCTTTTTTTATATACTATAAATAACATAATATGTAACTCTTTAGACATCAATCATCACCTGATGAGAAGGGAAGTGCGCAGAGATCATTCTGTTGGACTTTTTCATCAATAAACGCGGTACTTGCCTTTTCAGCTGCATCCAGTAATTCGTCCCAGTGTATTGTTCCCTCCACTCGATCTTCGCCTTGTATTATCACCGGCAAATTCAAATCTTTCACCTGAATTACAAGTGCAAGGTGATCATAGCATAGTTAGTTAATTACTTAATTGATTAATTATTATCTTAATTAAATACCTTGTGGTAGGTAGATCCATCAGTAACAATGAGCTTAGCATCAGCTGCCTCGACTTGCTTCTGGATTTCGGAAGCGTGACCATTAGGGTTGGCTCCGGAGAAAACCCCGGCTGCCGCCATGATCCCGAGAGCAACAGTGGCATACTCGGCAACATTGGGGAGGAGAACCACCACGACTTGGCCTTTCCTCAGCCCAAGGGACCTCAACGCCTTGGAAAACCGGTGGACATCCCTCTTCACTTGCCGGTATGTGTACCCTTTGCCAGTGATGGCATCTACAAACGCCACATTCTCATAATATGACTCCACATCTTCAAGTACAAACTCCGGGAGAGTTAAGTCGCCAGGAACCTCCACGTCACTGTATTTGCTGCGGAAAATGATCTCTTCATCAATTCCCATGTTACTTTTCTTTTTGGGTCTCAGATGTTGATTGAGGCTTTTCCATTTATAGGATAAGGATTAATGCGAAATGTGTCGATTGTTGATCATGGGAAGCGCGTGTGTGTCTCTGAGTATGGAGGAGGGTTTTAGGTGAGGATGAGTTGAAGGCGAAAGAATGATGATGAGCTTCCATAGTGTGTTGAGGATAGGTGGTTCACATCATTCTCATTTTTAGGGATTATGTTATATTCTCAAATCAAATATATCTCAGTTAGCTTAGCCTATCACATATATTGCAGTCTTGTCATCAAAATCTACACATGCTTCTCTATTGTGCATTACAGGCTAACATTTCTCTCAAGATCTCTAACAGTTCCAAAAAATATATATATATATATAGTGACGGATCTAGAAATTACACTCAGGGGGGCCCGATTTGATGTTAAATAAAGAGCTTGTAGTTTAAATCGAAACACTTATTTTATATAAAAATGTATTTAATATAATTA